TATTTATCTTTTAGCGAAAATACCTAGTAGAAATTCCTTTTATGACAACGCAAATATTAAATTTCAATGATTTCTTCTATTAGTACCAGTGATATGATAAAAAAATGAAAAATCGTCTGGCCCCTTATGAAGTTTCTGTTTCCTGATTCATTGTTTTAACTGCCGCAGTTGAAATATTAAATTCCAAGAAATTTGACTCATTATTTTTCTGATGGAACCTGTTTTGCTTTAAAAGTTATCAATAATCTGTTGTATTGTTACATGCAACTCATAAAAGTTCAAGAAAATTTGTTAAATATTTTCTTAAAAACTGAAATTGGGAAGCACATGCAAGTAGCGCGACAGACCGACATTTCAATAAAAATATAGATTATTTACAAACATTTGTTACAGAGAAAAACGCAACAATATTAAAAACTCGACATGTGAAATTTGGTGCTATCACATGATCTTTCTTATTGTATGCAGTGCGGTCGGTAATTAAAGAAATGACAATCAACCACTAATGATTAAAGTAATGGCAAACATGTTCATTTTTGCAACAAAAATAAATATGTCTTTGGTTTTATGCAACAATTTTAATCAAGATCACAGTAGCTATATGTATGTGTTCGAATAGTTAAAAAAAGAAATTTTCCCTAACATTCTAAAAGCAGAATATTACAGCATTACAGTTTCTCTACTATAACAGCATGGCTGGTGCAATATTGGACAGAATATGCAACTGTTTAAAATGAAAATAAAATATGAAATTGTAAAAAGAAAATAGTAAATCTACATCTTTAATTAATATTTTCGACTGCATAAAGAGAAAAAAAAGAAACTCGATAGAATGCATGTTAAATATTTATTCTAACCAGCACTTTATAATTTATGAAATCGTGTGAATTTCAATCATATTCAAATAACAGGGAGAAAATATAAATACTGACTGTTAAAATAGTGATTTTTTATTACAGCATTAATAAAAACGATGTAATAGAAAATTTATAATATTGACATTTCATTCTTTTTTGGCTCTAAAATTAATTTAAATTGTATTGTTGCAAAAAACTTTACATCAATTTATTCAAAAAAAATTGTAATTTTTACATTTCACCTACTATTCATCCTGATCTACATTTTCTAATAACTGTAAATGTTGTATACTGTGTGGCACAAATACATTATAATTAAAATCATCGAAAACGCGTGGGTTGATTTTACTTAGCCTCATATTCAAAAATTTAACAAAAAAAGTATATAATTGAAATAAAAAAAAAAAAATAAAAAAATTAAATTCTGCAGTCCAATAATTTTTGAAATTTTTTTATGCATTCATAAAAATACCATTAACAATATTTTTATACATATTATAAAAATTATGAATATTCAATATGAAAATATGAATAATTTTCACTCATTTCTAAAACGATATTTTATTTGTATATGTGATTTCAAAGTTGCTTACAGTATTCCCGCGCCGTTCATAATTGTTAACTTATACATAATTTGTATGTATCTATTTATCTTTGAAAGCAGTGTAAAAAATTCCTTTGAATTGCTATTCTTGAATTGCTATGGGTTTTAAGTGTTATGCAATTTTTAGTTTTACCATCTTTAATCACTAGATTGTATATTCATTATACGTATGTACATACATATGAATATCTATAACATATTGCATCAATGCTAATTGATCAAATTACCTAAAAATTGCATTATATTTGTAAAAAATACAAAACATTTAATTACTTGCCTAGATGCAATCACACAGTTGCTACGTGTGAATAATCGTTTAATTTATTAGATCCATAGATTTTGATGTAATTCATCCTCGCGCGTAGGCACAAAAAATGACTTTCTTTCTGTAGGCACAATGAATGACTGACATAGTGCAGTCAACATAGGCACAAATGACTATATACACACAATGAATTGTCTAATTTAAAAGGCAGACCCTTTGAGAAAAATCATTTTCTTATCCCTATAGTAACGCGAATTCAATTATGATTTTCAAATTAACTATATTATTTTTAAAGAAATCATACAAATATTGCATATTTTCATTTTTCTCTTTATAAAAATTAATGATTAATAAAAGAGAATATTTATTTTATTTTTTTTTAAATTTTAATTATTGAATTTTTATAATTCCATGAGACTAACGATGCATAGACCATGAAAAATGATCAGTTTTCAATTTCATTAATTTTCTTTCTAGACGCTCTTCGATATTTATATTTGTATATCTTAGATCATTTCTCTTATGTTTACAAGTATATATAAGCAATAATTGTTGGTTATGCGGTTAGTAGGTTCATTCATCTTCATATAAATTATTTTATATTAATACAATTTGATTTTACGTAAATTAATGTTTAATCTACTTTAGATGTACAGAATTTGCACAGCTTTCATTTATGTTAGTGAGCTAGACACAATATTAATTATAAAAATTTTAATATTGTAGCGACTAGAAGGAAAATTAAAACAAATTAGAAAAAACACTTTTAATTGATCACCTAAATAGTAAAAATCTATCATATATTAAATATTTAATTTATCTACAAGGTGTTTATAAATTTATAATTTTGAAAAACGTAAGCTTTTTAAATTCATTTCTTCGATTCATTATGAAAATTCTATTCAATTATTCAAATCCCTGTAGTGTCTTGTAATTTTATTTAAATTGTATTGCATCTATCTTATTTCTAATAAGGTCTCCGAAATTTAAACTGAAGAATTTATTCCCCCTTAATATGAATATGGCAAAGCTTAAATTTCATTAACTTAAAACTGTTTCTTAATTTCTACATTTTAAATTTTGAATAATACAATATAAACCCTTTTATTTGGTTGTGTTATCACCCCGCATTAAGAATTCGTAATATCAATTCTTATGGTATATGTATGTTTGCGTCAAAAACCAATTAAAGGATAAGAAAATAAAGCAATTAATTAATTATCATGAATAGGATGCAATAAAATTCAAGTTATAATGATTTTCACAAGATTAACTAGAAAACAGAAATGTTGTAATATGAGAGAACTTAATGGACAATAAAAATTAAGTGAAAGCATACAAATCTAGTTTTCTTTTAAAATAAAAAGTGCAACCGGTACAAAAATTTAAGAATATTAATTGATTAGAATATAATCTGATCTAATTATATGATGATTGTTGATTAAAATAAAATTTTATTTTCAAACTCTATTTCCGATTTTGACTCAAAGAATTTCATTTGCTTAGAGTAACTTAATGTGGAAAACAATAACTGTAATTATTAATAATGTTTTCTTATCATACTTCTGCTTAGGGCTAAACCTTAATAGACGCGCCATGCCGCACGTGATTTACAAAAAATAAATATTTTTCCGCATCAGATTCGAAATACCAATTTCAAGCGTGCGGTGTTTGAACTAAAAAACTAACTTCATTGTTTTTGGCGTTTTATACAAATTTCAATCTTATTTTTATAGTTATTCGTGTATACACAGTTTCAGTCTGCCGAATAAGCATTGCGAGAATGCTCATTACATGGCATACCGCATGCCATTATGCTGGTTTACATAATGCAAGTGTATGTAAAAAAGCGAATTTAAATTTAAGAAGAACTTCAAAATTTCTCTCAATCAATGAAAAATATTTTGTTTGTGTTAAAATTGCATAATTAAAAAAAATTTTTTGGTATTGAATTCAATATAAAGTAAATTTATTTAATCATTTCAAATTCATTCCAGCGTTCACCATAAAATTTTTACTTCCCTTATTTTATTTAAATTACAGGTTATTAACCATTCATTAGTTGACGTTATTTTCCTGCTTTCTGTCTATTCTATTAAATGTTTCTTAATTTAAAATCACCATCTTTCAATTTTATTGAGTCACATTAGATTTTTTGCAACATAAAACTGGACCAGTGTATTTTTCTAACACATAGAAATTTTCTGACGCACGCATACATATGTGATATAATATTTTTTATTTTTATCGAATTGTTGTTGTGTTTTATGCTTTTAATTCATACATAATGCTACACACAATAATTTTAACTTATTATTTAAAATATTAATCATAAAGCAAAACAGGAAGGCTGGAAATAAAATTGGAAAAATTTCTACAACAAATTGCTTGACGAAAAACGAACACAAAAGATAAGAAATTTAATTTAGATTACATTTTTGTGCAAAGGCACAAAGTCTCTAAAGACAAAAAAAGTAATTTCGTTTGATATGAAGAGTTCAAACACAAATCTTCAAGCATTTTACTTATTTTAATTTAAATATATCATATTTTTTTTGATAAATTTCCAAAAATAGTGAGAGAAAAATAACCGATTTGTTTAACCATGTTTGTCTGCCTCTCCCGTCTCCTAAATTTTCATCAACTTGTGTTTTCATTACTCCAACTCAATAACATAAACAAATTAGTATAAATTTTAGAACCAAAATAACAGTCAATAAGAGAATAAAAACAAGGAAAATAACAGTAAATACAACAATAAAATCCATTCGTTATATTCAATCTAAGTTAAAGAAGATTAAAGTTTTTTTCTAATGAGAAAGATGTGTGCCTTTTTCATCACTTTACGGTTTTGTCTCTATTAAATCCAATTTGTGGGCATATTTTTTTAGAGATTTTAAATGAGAAATTATTTGTTACTAACCTCATATTCATTTTCTTTCTAGACTGAATTATGCTCATTCATTTTAGATAAAATTTAAAATACTTATAATTAAAGAAAAAAATGTTCTTTTCTAAAAATTTGCATTTTCAATTTCATTTTTATCACACTACAAGTAGTCTTTAAATAGAAATTGAATGCTAAAATAGGGACTTGTTTGAAGCTGGAAGCTAAAAATACATTTTTTTGTTAATTCAATTTCATATACATATATATATATATATGTATATACAAATACATAGTTATATATAATAATTTATGCACATTAATACATAAATTTTCATCAAATAAAAGAGCAAACCAAAAACTAAAAAAAAATGGCATTAAAATTAACCATAATTTTTATTATACTTGGTATAATATTTGTATTATTTTTCCAAATGGTGACACCTTGGATGTACAGCATATCATCACTAGATAGATCATATTTTAAGACAAGATGTCCTCAGGTAAAATCATCTCTATTAATCAAATATATTTCTAATTTTACAAATTTATAATAACAAGATGGTAAGTGAGCAGTGTTCACTGTTATTATATTTATTCACCCTTCGGGCAATAATTTTTATTTTATAAATCTATTTTGATTACAGTAAAAGAAAATGTTAAATTTCTTAACAAAAATTGTTATCAGTGATTCTCAAACAGAATGATAAATTAAAAAAAAATTAAGTTTTAAAAGAAGTGCCGAAGAGAATTTTAAACAATACTGTTGAAATTATTTTTTTGCTAAGCTAAAAATAAGCGGGTTTAGATCTAACTTTTATATAAGTAAGTCCGACGAAATGTTTTTAAACTGTAATAACAATTTATTTATTATATTGGAATTGTACAAAAATAAAATTAGATAACAATTAAAAAATTTTTGACGTTTATAATGCATGGCCGGAGAAATCTTGTAAAAATTTTTGTTTACTACTATTTAAAAATTTTAATTTTTACTCATAAAGTGTTAAATTATGTTCAACATGGTATCAATGGATATGAAATTGTTCAAATGGTTCACATATTTAATATGTTTCCTTGTTTACTATATGTTTTTATCACAGTTTGAAAACTACTGATTTTAATAAAGCACGGTGAACATAAATAATATTTTTAAAGAATGGTACTCATTGAAAATATCATGAAACTTGTTGCAAAAAAAAAATAATGTAAACGATTTTAAAAATACAAAATCTAATGACACTTCTATTCAATACTCAAGCTCTAATTCTTATTTTACAAAATTAAAGTAGAAAAGTGAGGGTTGTTCAAAAACCTTAAGAAATTCAATGTATGCCAAATATATTTAATACATTATTATATTACAAATATTTAATAAAGCATTGCACAAAATCAAATATTTCTTTAAGCCCTTTAGAAAGAATTTATGTTTTAGCACTTTAATGTAAAAACATTAACTTTATTAAAAGTATTTATTTCAAAATAAGCACTCTATTGATAAAGTAAGAATATTAATCTTATACCGTATAACAGTGCACCGCGTTATTAGAGATTCACCCCCCTGTTGAACTTGAACAACTTGTGAAGCTCGAAAGAACGCAACTAAGAGTGTTCTAAACCTAAATAGGAGTGTGAATAAAATCTTTTTAGAATCAAGTTTCAATTGGAAGCCAAAATAATCAATCTACTTTTCTTTTATATTTTTATTTTCAAGTTCAAACTGTCCATGAGGTTTTTTTCGACACGGCAACTCATATCTTGTTCACATTTAAAAATTATAAATTTAAAATGCGTAGAAATTGTAAATAAAGTTTGGTATTTGTGCTATAAAACGCATATTGGAATATTTACGAAGTACTCGAAATAAAGTGGAATATGTAAAAAGAATTTCTGTTTTTCTGTAGATGAATATTGGGTCAGCATATCGAGCATTTAACAAATTACCACCTGATTTTAATTCTTCTTTAGTTATTCCGCAAGTAAAAGTTTTTTTTATTTCTTTTAATCTCTTCCTCTTTTTTCTTGCGCTGTTCAATTTTTGTAGTGGTATTGTATAACTCTTAAAGGAAATTTTCTAGTCATATTGATTAATCAATACTCTTTAATGAAAAAGTAAAGAAAAAGAAAAAATGGTAAATGAAAATTTTAATAAAAAAGTGAAATAAAGTAAATAATGCCTTTTAGCGAAAGGTGTATTAATTATATTAAATTTCATTCCAGTTTATAAATTAATTTTCGAAGATCGGCATGCTTTTCGTATTTTAGTATTTTTTTTAATTTGTCATTCTTGCTACCGCAGTTAAACAAGTTTTCTGAAATTTTTTCATGTCATTGTAATTCTAATTATAGCAATTTTAAAATGTCAAAATCCGGAGCGCTTTATATTATAAATTTAAAAAAAGAAGCATTTTAATTACAATAATGGGATCTTAGATAATGAGGACGGAAAAAAAAATCTATTTAAAATTCTTGCTTTTCTAAAATATTAAGAGAAGAATGACAAGGCTAGGTTTCGACTATAAGTATTTCTTAATGGGCTTCTTAATAATATTCTAATAAAACAAAATTATTTTTAATTGAAATTATTTTCAAAACATTTTTTCTAAACTAAAAGAAAAATTTGAAGATATTGCAAGATTTTAACAAAGAAACTCGCTATGTTCAGCTTTAATTCGGTCGAATACAGTCCCCCACTAAAAAAATTTTATTTTACAAAAATATAAAATTACACTTGAATTCAACTTTTTGAAATGTACATTTTCAATAACTTCTTAAAGTAAAAACTTTAATTTTTAAAGTAAATGAAAGCGTTTCGAAATAATTTTTACTATATTTTAATTAAAAGTTTCTTCGTGATGCAAAAACGAGAAGTTCTTAATTAAAATTCAAATAAAATCTAGGTTTAAGATATTTTATGCAATTAATTTGAAGAAAAAGTATTTTATTTTTTTTTTCTTAGTTTTATTCAAAATTAATGCGTCAAAGTGAAAATATGAGGCCAAATTATTAGAAATTTTTTTTTGCAATTATTATACGAAAATGTATAAAGCCTAAAATTTTCGAAATACTCTTAAAGAAACGTGCTATGAAATCGGAAATAATTTTTTTTTTTATTAAGATTTTTAATAAAATTCAATTGCCGAGATAATGAAATTTAAAATTCGAAAAAAAAGTAAATGTTGAAGAGAAAACAAAGAATTGTAGTTGATCTTATCAACTATGAGTTCATTTAGTATATTAATTTTTGTTCCGTAATTAAATTGTTGTTTATAATGAAAATATACATTCAATATTTTAAAAAACAGCTTTAGAATGATTATTTTAATTGAATAGCTAAAAAAAATAATCTCTCCACTTATGATTACGTACAGTAGATAATTTGCTGCACAAATTTTGTTAATACCACACGATTTAAGGTACATATGTATATACAAAATAATCAATAGAATGAAAAAAATTTGTAAGAACAAATCTCAGTCACATTTTATGACGTGACATATCTTTTCCCTTATTTATTTTATGAATTATAAAAAATCATAATTCAACTCTTTCGGTTAAAATTTACGATATTATCAAAATTATAAAAATGACAATTCATCAATTTCCTTTTTTTTATTGATTCACAATAATTCCGTATAATTTGTATTGGGACTTGCCTACACTTTGAGGGAAATTAATATTTATTTGAAATTTTCTACCATACCACATACATACACACTGTTTGGAGATTTTAAATTCCTTAAAGGTGCTAAGGTCGTCTTTAAGTCATATTTTGATTAAATATAAAATGCTTACAAAAATATAACTTTCATCGATCTTGTGAATTATGTACAAAATAAATGAAATAAGTAACTCTGATGCACATCGAATTTATTTTATATACTTAAACATTAAATATTAAGTTTTCAATAATAATTCTTAATTTATTACTTATAAATAAATATATATATATATTGAAAAAAAGTATGTATGTACCTATATGCTTAAAATTTTCGATCATTTTCTTTTTTCTCATGTATTCACTTTCACATAGGTTAAAGAAATCAAAAATTTTAATTTGGAATCAATGATGGGATTTTGGTATGTTGTCCAATATTATGCATCTTCAGAGGAACTACCAGAGTATGCTTGTATGAGAAGTTATTTCACTTTTGATGATAATAACCGTCATAACAATGAGAAATTGGTAAGTATATTTTAGTATAAAATTTTTATATTGGATATTTTTAATAATTCTTAATGTACATTTATATTACATTTCAAGTACATACAAATATGAAAGTGAAAGCAATAAAGAGTAAAATGGAATTTTAAAAAAAAAAATTTGTTAAACAAATTCCAAAAGGACAATTCCGCATATTATTTTATTCAAGATCAATGAATTATTTCAATACTTGCATAATTACAATCTGCAATAACTAAAAGTTTTATGGAAAGGAAAAAATTGCAGTTAAAATTAGCCTTTATCTGAAATCTGTTTTCAAATTTTTGATATCTTTTTTCTCCGAGATAGTAAGCTGTGGGAGACTGAAATTTGGCAACTTTTTGATACTAATAAAAAGTTAATTTCCGTAAAAGAAACTTTTTTGCCACCTCCACCACTTTTCGAGTTAACGCTATATTTCCCAAATGTCAAGTTTTTCCAAATTTCAATTAAATGCAGAAAGCTAACAGTAGATGCCATGCCATCAAAATACATAACAAACTTTTTTAAACGTTATTTGAAAAATTTTGGCATAGTTGATGGACGGAAAGGTTCTACTTTACAAACCATTGTTGTGATCCAAATTTATTTAGTATTGTTTTGCTTTAATTAAAATGCAAAATATTTAAAAAAAAAATAAAAATTTCTAAAAATTATTTAATTGATTTCAACCTAAAAAGTTTCTCCAAATTCTTTTATCTCCTCTTACATCTTTTATCATATTTTATACTGATTACACATACATCGATCTAAATTTTAATAAAATATTTAAAGAATATGCGAACATTGAAAAAAATTCATAATATTTTTTTTAAATTAATAAACCTGTTGTGCAAATTTTCTTCATTGAAAAGTGACAGTTCTTCTTTATCATAAACGCATCCTGAATGAATTCAAAGAATTTAAAATCAGAATCTATTTGAATTATTGTGAGTAAATGCATGTATCAGACTAGTCATACGACTTTCATTGTCATAAGCTCCAAAAAAAGAAAAGAAAAGGTAAAAATTATGCCGAAAGCCACAACGCGTATAACGTCGTTTTCATTGATCTTGTTATCAATTGAAAAAAAAAATATCGGCAAAAAAGTTTTAAAAAACAAAACTTGATCAAATTATCATTATTAAAAAAAAATTTTAAATTAAAAAAAGAATTTGTAAAAAGATCTTTCCGATGAAACTCGCCAACTTCCTCTTTTTCTTCTTCAACCGACATTCTTCATGTTTTTACACATAAACACACACACATATTATGTTGATCTGATCTCTTTTAGGACTTGTCCAGTATTTTCATATGCCTTTTTGTTTCACTCCAGATGAATATGCAAAACGAAAACAATAAACGAGACTAAAAATAAGGAAAAATTAAAAAGGAATGAAAAACACACGACCGCAACATTCTTATTATCCAACAAGTTTTAACCAATCGATAGTTAACAGTGCTCCACTTTCAATACATACTTTCATACATACATATGTACATGCGAAAGCGTTACACGTATAAGAATTAATGCCGCGATCAAGGGGTTGCAAATAGAATACATTTTATGGGATAAAAAAAAAACAAGAAACTTTAGTTATTTGTGACTATAAAATAATATAATAAATTTGTAATTTAAATGGCATAAATGGCATACGCAATTATCTACATAGCGTCTTAATTGCGCCTAACTCTTCTTGTCTAACGCATACACGTTGCACAATATGACAATGCACTTTGAAATTATGAATTTTCTGCGTTCTTTTCGTACACATATTATACATAATATATGAATTTATGTAAGTATGTACAGAAATATAACTTTTTAATTCTGTTTTGGTTTGTTTAACTTATGAAATTAAAATAAGTATGATGGTTGTTTGCTGAAAAAACATAAAATATGCGTCAGTTCCTGCGTCTTGGTATTTTAAAGAAAGTTGCACATTGACTTTTAATTTTTATTATACATATAAACAAAAAGCATGACAAAACATCAAGTAAAATAAAATCATTTCGCGTTCTTTCTGCAAAATATTTTCTTTATATATATACATACATATATACTTACATTGCATTACTTTGCATTCACAAAGCTGATAGGCTCATTTTGTATACATATGTATGTATTTCACTCATTTTTGTATATGTATACAAAAATCGCTATTCTGAACATACATGTGTACAAATGTATGTACATATGTATGTCAAATAGCAAGAGTTCAGCAGACAGCACATTATTGTTTTTTTAGCCTATATCAAGTTTTTGAGTTTTGTAAAATTATAAATTTATGGTTATTATATACGGTTTTAAAATAATGTTGAGGGGGTCATATTTTATGTTCAAGGGTTGTCGAATTGTTGTGGAAGAACAACAATTAAACATCTTAATAATTTTAGCTTTAATTTCAGCATTGTAAAGTCGCAAATGCATAATATACTTTATGTGTTCCATTTACAAATAAAAAACATTCCAAAAACGTATATTATGTACTCGTGAACACCCCTAGGCATATGCAAACACATTTATGTATATCGAGGAAGGTATGATTGCACCGAATCTTGCATGTAAGGTGGTTTTTTGTGTGCCTGCCTGTGCACTTCTTTGTCTCAATTTTGGTTGACATACATACATATATACATTACGTTAAAAGATGCATGATTTATTTGAATGATTTCCATCGAAATAAAAGTTATTCTTTTAAGATACTAATAGAAAATATCTTTAATATTTTAGGTGACCATGAATTTTAGTTACATTTATGCTGAGGATCCATATCGTGAACAATTAATAGGTAACATTACATGGAGAATACCAAATTTTAATATACCAGCACATTGGGTGCATACTGAGTATATATGTAAGTAATATACATAAAAGAAACAAAATATTTAGTAAACAAAAAGTTTTTACAAAAAAAGAAACTGACTAGTATAAAAACTCAATGTTTAAGTTAAAGCTACTATAAATGTACGTATGTATATATGTACCTACGTTATATAAATATTCGATCTGCTTTGGTTCATGTATACATACATATGTATATATGTACATACTCAATCAAATACATACGATCCTAATTAACGTATATATGGATGTTCTGACAACCGGATCTATTAAAATAAATGATGAAAAATAAAGCAATTTCAAATGAAAGTGATGAGTTATTACAAAAACACTGTCAATTTCAATTCATTTAAAATCTTAAACTAATCCTTTACATACATTTTCTTTAAATATCTTTTCTGTATGGTTTGTAAAAAAAATCCAATAAATTACTAAGATTTTAATTATTACTTGAGCAGTTCAGCTTTTTTAATTTTAAATATATAATTTCATTTATTGTTGTAACCATATACATATGTAGTTTTATGACCCTAAGAACATATTACATACATATATACATACATACACATACATACTCTAATACAAACGCTATTGAACACAATAAAAATTTTGTTATTAAATAATATTTAAACATTATGTATATATTTAAAAATAAATAAATAAATTTTTATGATACATGCTCGAATTATCGATATCTTAAGATGAAGGAGTCTACAATACATACGTTATTGATACTGATTACGAATCATGGAGCCTAATAATGCATTGTGCTGAAAAATCAAAATCCCCAAGATATTTATCAGCACTTCTATTATCGAGGGAACCAAGTGTAGCAACTAATGTTGCAAGTTTCTTAAGGTAAATACAAAAAGAAATTAATTTTGTCTTAAAATTTCTTATTAATTTAATTAGGAGAATGAAATAAATATGTGCATAATATGCTATAAAATAAATATGTACGTAATTCATAAGTTTATGAAAAGAGATCGACATGCTAAGGTGAGGGCCGAAAATTGTACATATACATATGTATAAATACATGCCTAGCTGGCAATTTTTTTTTGCAGTTAAGGATAACAATAAAGGTTGATTTTCAGAAAGAATACTTGTAATACTATCACTGTTATTTTTTATATTTTTAAGAAATTTTAATATTTAAAGGCAATAGGTACATAGTCGAAATTATGTTAATAACACTAAATATAAAATTCCAATTCAAAATAGTTAAATAAGATTATCTTCTATCAGATGCGTACACGTACGCATCTTAAGGAGAAAACACTTGCTATAATTATACAGTAGAAATCTGCTCTAGTGAACGCCCGACTTTATGAACTTCCCAGTCGAGTGAACACAAAAATTTTAGCATTGACTGCCTTACACTGTGAACAAAAATTTTTATAAGTGCCCAGTATAGTGAACAAATTTTACAAAACTGTTTTTTTTGTATATACAGTAGAAATCTGCTCTAGTGAACGCCCGACTTTATGAACTTCCCAGTCAAGTGAACACAAAAATTTTAGCATTGACTGCCTTACACTGTGAACAAAAATTTTTATAAGTGCCCAGTATAGTGAACAAATTTTACAAAACTGTTTTTTTTTTTATATTATTCTTTTTATTTTTCTCATTGTAACGGGATTTTTCAAGTTGAATTACAAAAGAGAGCATTATTTTGTTTATTTAACATAAAAGTCATACATTGTGTTAGGTAATGGCATTCAATTAAAGTGTAATTTCGATAATAAATAAAATTCGATTAAAATAAAAGTGTTCAAGTTTTTTTTAAAATGCCGAAAACAAATATTAAAAGAAAACATTTGAATTTAAATGAAAAAATTAAAATTATAAAATCTTTAGAGTTAGGAGTAAGTGTTACAACATTATCTAAGAAATTTGGCTGCAGACAACGATATCTTGTTAACCGACCAAGTCACACTTAGATATATAAAAGAAAATATTGTTTTAAAAATTTCAAATAAAAAAAATATTCAAGAAAAAGTAACTAAATACTTTTTGAAACAATAAAGCTTTAAAAACTACTTTTTAGTTTAATTTATTTGACATTTAATACAGTGAACAGGTTCAATAGAACGAACAGCCTGTGTTTTTATTGTGTTCACTCGAGCAGATTTCTACTGTAATTACAAATATCTCAAAATCCAACCGTATCAAATATTAAAATTAACAAAGGTTTGTGAAAATTATAAAAAACAATTATTATTAAATAAACAACAAAATAATTTTGAATTTTAGAGGTTATCTTTAATATTTTTTGCACTTAAAAGTAAATTGTAAATATTTATAATTTGATTAAAAAACAATATTCCTATCACATCATTTCACTTAATATTATTCCACAAAGTTCCATAAACAGAATTAAAATAATGGTAACTTTCTACCTATGTACATATGCTTTTAAGTACTTTATCGCTGCTTTTACATTACAAACATATTTTAGAAAACGAATTTTAAGTTAATCATTTTAAGAGAAACCAACATCTTAGACTAAACTAAAAAAAAACAAATCCAATTTTAAAAGAATAATTTGCATATAAGTTAGACTACAACCGTGATTAGAATAAATTTTACATAAAAAGAAAATGTAACGCAATTTTTAAAACAAACGTATGTACCTACATATGAAATGTACATATGTACAAACGTATGTTTTAAGATCAAGGTGCATACACTGATTGACTATAATTACAAGTATAAAAACTTTCTTGATCAAAGTGCTTTGACAAGTTGATGAAGGTATACATACTTTGTTAATATCACCTCAAAAAAGTGAAAGAAGATTTTCAATTATTAGTCATGTACCTACATTCATACACGATTAAAATTAGCATTTTTATGATGTTCAAATAGGAAGTAGTATCAGCATCTCAATCAATGATCTAGACATGATGTAAATATCAAAATAAATTTTAATCATAAAACAGAAGATACATAAGTTAGGTGTGTAAATAGAAAACACATTACATTTACCCATTACATTTTGAACACACACATACATAATTAGTATAATAAATAAACATATACACAATAACTATGTGTACATAAGTAGATGCACTTAGCTGAAAAATAAAATTGCTTCATTTTTAATATGCACAAAATTTCTTTATATTACTCAGTAGTTTCCGCTAATATTTAAAATTTTAAGTAGGTGGAAAACTAAGCATTGAATTCGTGTTTGAGATGTTCAGCCCTGTCCGCTGAACGTCCATACTGAGTAGTTCCTGTTTAATATAATCAATCTTAGTACCACATAACGAATCAGTTATCTTATAGATCTTACATTATGATTAATCTTGTAGTTATGGTAAATATCCAGTGCGTTATTTTTATTCTATCAAGATACCAACCACTGTTTTTTAAATTCAATCCTTTTACATATTGTGTAGTTATATAATTAACGTATAAATATGGTATATTGTGTATAAAATTATAAATATATCCATATGTATGTTACCATCTAATAACATTCGACTTTAACTTTAATTTACAGAGACAAGTTGCCGCAGTATGATATTGACCTATCATTTATGTTTGATATCAGACAGGATGAGGATATGTGCGAATCAGTGAAAAATGTAAGCGATCCAATATCGTTTTCATTTAACAGTCAAATTAATCGCAAACGTAAAATTTCTATAATTCCAAATAAGTAAAATATGTTATTCTAAAATTCGTATGGAAATAAAATTGTATTTTTATGTTATTATTATAATATGTAATGTGCATATGTATGTATAAATAAATTAAAATTTGGAAAAGAAGTTAAAACACTTTGTCGTCTGAATTTTTGTATTAGATCCACATGTTATTTAGGTGATTACCACCGAGCAAACAATTATTTCGTAACTATTTTTTAATGGTTTTTTACTTGTATTCTTTATTTTTTATTATATATGTAATAATTGTTTTTCTTTAGACAAAAGATTGAAATGAAATTGGTAATGTAATAACGTTTTTGTTTTCACAGATTTTTCTCTTCCTGTACGGACCACCATTTGAATTAAATTATTACCATTAAATACCTACTTTATAAATTTTTGAAATCATAGCACGAAGATTTACTCTTTTAACTTATAATACTTATAATACTAATATACTACAAGCTAAATACGAATATTGTTTAAAAGAACTATTAAAAATTAAATATTCACTTGCATAATTACTAAAGAATATATATTCAGAATAAACAGAATAAACAACATATACAAGTTAAATTTATGCTTTGTTACAATCTTGTAAAACTTGAATTTACTTAAATAATATATGTAACTTTCTATATTCTAGAAAAACAAGTTTTTTTAAATTAAAAAAATAATACTGTGACTAGGAAACAAAAAATTTAATTTAGTGATATTAATTAAACTATATTACAATACTCTTTTTCCTTAGATGAACTTTTCATGAACTTAGAATCTGCCGAAGTGTTTGTATCAAAATTTATAACAATAAATTTTTTCTGATGCAAATGAACTTCTTCTGTTAAACAAACCAACTTCGTTTCTGTGGCTCTAAAAAAATTTGTTGGAAGTGTGTTGAAATTAAAATTAATTCGAAATTAATACTTTGTTATTATATTTATTTTTTTTATATTTTATACCTAAATTTTTGAACATAACCATCCTTTAATGAATTCAAATTTATTACATTCCTCAAAAATTTCCCTGTTTTTATATCCCATAACTTAATAGTATTGCCAAACGAACTCGTTAAAACGAAGTTTAATACAAATTGAATACATTGCACTTGAGATGATTCCTCACTGGGATCTAAAGCAAAACTTATCAAATAATTTTGTTTTCAAATTTTCATGAATTCTATTACCTGATAAAATTTGTACACATTGACCGGTAGCAGATTCACAAACTTTAATTTCATATTTTACCCTATAATAGGGGAAAGGTGAATAAAAATAAATGAATGCGAATAAATTTTTTTTAAACTCGGTACTAGAATAACTAGTAAACGCAAAACAATCTTTGTAATTGAGTAAAGTTTGCTTAAGACATCCCGTATTCACATCCCAAATTCTCACAGAATCTAAAGAACCTGATACAACATATGTACCATCAAACTAAAAAATAAATCACGTTTTATATATAAAAAAAAGAAAGAACACATACATTTTATATGTTTGTGGTTATTTACAATATTACCTGCAAAGATTTTACTTCATGTTTATGCCCTTCTAATGTTTTTACACACTCATTTCCCTCAGGATGCCATATTTTAATAGTTTTATCAGATGATCCAGATATAACAAAGATCCCGTTGTAATCTACACAATGAACTGCTGCACTATGACCGGACAGCACATGCAAACAAATACCTCTTTCGTAATTCCAAATACGAATAGAGCAATCAGATGACCCACTAATAACCCTAATGAATTTTGTGCAAAAAGAAAAGATAACATTTTTATGAATAAGAAGATGTAGAAGAATATGCTGAAAACACTCCATGAACGATAATGTATAAATGAACTTAAGTAATTTTGTTATATTAATTCAAATTATTTACTTGTTTTCAAATACTGTCAAACAGCGAACACTTTCTGTATGTCCTAAAAGTGTACGATAATTTTCACCTGTATCAATACACCAAATTTTTAACGTTCTATCATTGCTTCCAGAAATTATTAGTTTTTCTGATAAATAAAATGTAGTTATAAAATCAGTATGTCCCATCAACTTTTTAATGCACTTTAAAAAAAATAAAATTTTTTAAGCTTTGATAAAAATAATATTTTAATTTACCTTCCCAGAATCAATCAAGAATATATTGATAATTTTTGTGTCATAAGATGAGGATACAATATATTTCGCATTAAGCCGCAAGCAACTAACTAGTTCATATTCACAATTTATAATTTTGGAATTTTTTATAGACAAAGATTTCCAATTAGATTCAATTCTCCTTTGGCGAATATATCTACATTTCCAATGCGATGAGGGAAAAATTCCATTATTTGCTTTAGTACTGCTTCTTTTTAACAATGGTTTTTCATTTGATTTATTTTTGTCTATTTCTATATTCTCTGCAGCTAATGTTATTTGATCTTTTTTGCACTTTTCTTGCCATAAAAAGTCGTCGTTACAAATAAATCTCCAATTCTTACACACTTGTTCTGCTGTTAATATATCTTTCGGGTCTAGATAGAAAAGAATTTTTAAAGATAATTCTCGAGGTAAAATTGAAAAAAAATCCAATTCAAAATCTGAGTTTCTTCCTTTAACAATATTCGATAAAGCTTTAAACATTGCGCAAATTTATCTTATTATTACATAAATAAATTTTAATTTTAAAATAGTATTTTGTTTTATTATGCAAAAACACATATTTCTATGCACAAAAAATCGTAATTTTATTTTTGTCGTAAATATTATTTCTGTTTACTTTATTTTATATTGTCACATTATTTTTTATGTGATTTATTTAATTTTTATACATATATCAAATCGGCTTAACACAATATTCAAAACATTACCACAAAACAGCTGATAAAAATCAGTTTGACATGTTTTTAGATTGCGGAATTTCGTGAAACAAGATTTTGACATTTTGTGCATTCCACCCAGTAATGTTATCAAACATAAGTTTTGACATTTCATGCACGCGGTTTATGTAGTGCTATAATAATCCATTTTGTTGTATAATACCAGTTATTATATTATTATATTATGTATGACTGCAACAACTGTCTATTTTTAGATCACAAAATATATAATAGGAAGAATCAAAACCAAAAAAAACGTTTCTGAAATTATAAAGTATATAATATTCTTTCTCAGAATCAAATTCAAAATCGACATAGCAATGTTTAAGAGACCCGCCTGTTGCAAAGAAACGCATAGAAGTTCCGTTTCATTTTTAACTTAAACGAAAAAGTTGTCAATAACGTGCGATTATTTTTTTTGAAAAACATCTATGGTTTTCCAGAATTTCGCGCTCTTAATATTTTTCATTCATATTTCTTAGTATATCTTCCGGAATCCTTCTAATTATTGTACATACATTATTACGATTTTATTATAAAAATTTTTTTGCTTAATTTTAAGCATAAAAAATAAATAACTTTTCTTAATCATATATGTAAATACTAAATTTTTCAGTGTCAAAAATAGCAGAATGTAAAAATCGAAATGTGGCTCTTTTTAATTTTTGGCGGGAAATATTTTAGATATTAGCTACCCATTTGATTTTTCCTTGTTACAATTTCTTCTTACTACTGGCATCATTCAAATATACCAAGTTTGCCAAGTATCAATAAGAAAGGGAGAGAGAAAAAAAAAAGAAAAATAGAGTCGCGTAAACGCAGAAAAAAGCCCAAAACATTTTTCAAATCTCTTGGAATTTTATTTTGTAAATATAATGTGAATAACAATAAATTTATTAAAAATTAATATTTAAAATAAGAAAACATATAAGTTTTTTAAAAAGTGAAAGATTTTAACGCGGAATGGTTAAGAAAAAATAAAAATGGATTATAAATATCTTAGCGCAAGATGTCAATTTTGACAGCAAATTTATACAAAAAAGAATAATTCATCAAAAGACGTAAAAATTAAAAACATTACTTGGTAAAAACATTAAAAATCATATAATAAATGAGCAAAATTGCAGTTAAAATTACTATTATGTGTTAAAAGATAATTTTAGTTTGTTTTTTAAAGGTCTAAAAGCACATTAGGGTAAGAAAAATTTGTTGCTGAAGTTTTTTTGTTTATGTTGCAAATTTTTTATCAAATGACTTTTAACCAAAAATGCCTGGTAAAATATAGTGAACCTACACAAAATCTGCAAAATATTTTCAATAAAATTTTGGAAAAGATAAAGTTTCGATAAACAAGCCATTAGAGAACGAAATAATTTGCATCAATGTTTTGATGCATAGCTATGTCAAAATTCTTGGTAAGGTGAAAACATGAGAACTGTCATTTTTATATCCCATTCCCTTTTAAAAGCAATAAGTAGATCTAAGTTGAAATAGAAACTCAAAAAAATGTATGCTAATTGAATTTTTATGTTTTTATATTTTTAGCAAATTTAAAATAGTTTTGGTTAAATATTAATATCATCAAGGAAAAATGGCTTTTTGGGGGAAAAATAGTATTATTGTTCCCTTGGATACATTAATTAATAAAGAGAAAGAAACTACAAGTAAACCAGTAGCTGCCATAAAATCTTGTGGCTCTGTTGGCCGTTGGGGGAAAATGGGCTTTACATCAACCAGAACATATGCACTAAAAGTTCCAGCTCATTTAAGTCCGGTAACAACGGGTCAATCACCTGATCAAATAGGATCTCCGCCAGGTGCTAACAATACAAGTGGTGGTCCAGGTTCGTCACCCCCAGCAGTAGAAGCTCCAAAACCAAAAAAGTTCTTTAAAAGTCGAAATACTACAGCTCCTTTAGACTTTATTCGCTCACAATTTATGCAGCATCATATGTCTCACATTGCGCCAATATCACCAGGTTATACATTAAATGTTACGGATGCACTACCCCCTCCTAGTCAAACATTAACTGGAAAAGAAACAACAAATACAAATATTAAGGTTAAAATTTCTAAAAGCAATAAAAAACGTAGAGAAAGTAAAGAACCAAAGGATGAACAAAATTCAACATCTAACGACGGCAAAGATAATTTACAAGGGAAAGAACGTAAAGAACGCAAGAAATCTACATCTTCAAATGATAAACAATCATTAAAATCTCCGAAACCACTTAAGAAAAAGAAAGAAGAAAAGCAATTAAAACCAGAAGCCCCACCATCACGTGTGTTAGGAAGAAGTCGAAAACCAGTTAATTATAATGAAGATGATGATTCCATTCCATATAGACCTTCTGAAGTGCCTACATCAAATAAAAAATCTAGTAAACTTAAAACAAAATCTTCAGCTGATGATACCGGGTCAAGTAATGAAGCACCCGAATCGAAAACAGAAAAAGAGAATGAAAATATTCCTGTAGCAGATTCTAAACCTGATCAAGTAGTAAATAATAAAAAGAAATTAAATAACAAAGGTACTGAATCTGATGTTAAACAAGACAATCTTGAAAATGAAGAAAAAACCGTTGCAAATAAATTCAATAATATTAATGCACTCGATCATCCGCCTATAGTTCTAAGAATTTCTAAGGTAAGCAGTTATTTACAATTTATTTCAAATACATGTGTTATAATTATTATTATTCTGATACAAGAATTTACGCTATCACAACAAATTCCTTAATGCACATCAATTCTAATTAGAAATTGGTTATTAATTTCAGTCGAAACGAGAATGTTTTCTTAAACTATGTTATCCTCTTAAACTTAACTATAATATCCTCTAAATAAGTTAAAATTTAGATTTTGAATTAATTTACATATTTGCTTGGATTGAGTACATATTTTGCTTGTGATAAAAGCAGATGTGGATAAATTTAAAAATCCTATTTGAATGTTGTTCTTTTGTACATATGTACATATATACATATGCAATTTTTATTTTGAAACAAAAAAAAATTTAGCCGCCTTTGCAAGAGGAAGTGAAATTCATAAACTTAATGCTTAAGTTTAATCGGAGTATTTTAACCGCTTCGAAATTTTACTACCGAAAGAATTCGAAATTTTTCTTACAATTTCAATTAGATAGTTGTATATTTTTATTATATCTCATGTATTATATACATGAGATATTCAATAGCAATATTTGATGTTTTGTAGCATTTTGATAGCAGTTTTGTGCTTCACGAGGATAAAATAAATTTCAAAACATATTATATAAACAGTTTTGTGCTTTCCAACTGATAAAATAAACTTAAAAACATATTAAAGTAATATAACAACACGCCAAATATTTTTATAAAAAATTCGGACATCTTAAATTTATGTTATATATGGAAAAAAATGCATTAAGTAGCCTAATACAACTATTAAATATCTAAATTCCATTTAAAATATGCTACCTTTAATTTTTTTTTCTTTCTAACACGGCAACATTGCAAGCATTTTGTTTTTCATATTCGTTCTGTGTAAAGTGAATTACTTAGTAAAACTTTAATTAGATATTCTTAATATACTGTCTGAAGAAGTTAAAAAATCATTGTATATTTTTTTTTCTCATTTAAATTCTAAAATTAAAGTTGTTTCCCTTATTTACAATTTTTTAACTGACTGTTTAAAACAAGACAATCGTTTGGAATTGATTGTAAACGTGTATCTAAAATAATTATGTATTGTGTATCTGCATATTAGTTTTCAAAATGTTGGTCAAGCCCGCCAAAATGATTTAGATTTATATTACATTTAAAGTGTAGTTTTTTGACTAAATAGTGTAATTACGGGTTGTTGTGTATTAGTTTACATCCCTGCAATGTAAAGAAAATTGCTCTTATTATAAAAATGAATTTTTATTGGTAAATTTTACTTAATAAAATGTATGTGCTCGCATTCAAATATATATTTCGTTTATTTTTAGGGAACATCGCGGTTGATTAGTACTGATAGTGAAGAAGGTAAATTAAATTCGACCACACCGGTACATGAATCTATTACTGACTCTTCAGCAATAAATATAGAAAACAAGACAGAAACAACACCACATGATACATTATTTGAAACAAAAGATCAATCAAAGATTTCAACTACAGAAGAATTGCTATCAGTGCTTTCAGATGATAAGCCAGAAGTTCAAAATATAACCAAAAAAACAAGAAAGAAATCAGTTAGCACGTCCGCCATATCACAACTTCCAACAACAGTACCCGCATCAACAGCACATCCTATCCTAACGTCAACGGAAACAGTCCAACAAAAACAAGATCCTCCAGCTCCAAAAATTTATCCAGCTGATACGATTCCTGATATTAATTATGAATCAAAAATATCGCCAGACAAACCACCTAAAGAACGTCTAAAATTAATTATTCGAACTGATGTTTTACGCAAAGCATTAGCAGCTGAAGCTGAAAAAGCCGAGAAGAAAAAGGAAAAAGAGAAAAATAAAAAACATCATAAGCATCATCATCATCATCACCATCACAAAAGTTTAACATTAAAGATATCTAATTCGGATGCACAATTTAAAACTCCATCCCCACAACCTGTTGTGGTGAATGATAATAACTGTGATTTATATAAACAATTGACCATTAACTCTCCATCTGAACGAGATTTCGATTCGCAAAGCTCAATTTTAGGTTCGGTTTCATCAAAAGCGACAACAGCTATAGGTACTGGAAAATTTTTTGCTTATAAATTAATATGAAAAAAAAATGTATTTTTTAGGTCAATTTCCTGCTGCTAACGTCCCTGAAGAAAGTTGTGTTATTAGAAGCCGAGGTTCAAGTGATATTACTAGTGATTTGGAGACATCACAGCATAGTTCTTTAGTGGCACCACCATCAGATATAGAATCCAGATTAGAGTCTATGATGGATCCGGAAGACGACCATACGTCAAATACCGCTGCTAATGGAAAAAGAAACATTAGTATAAAATTGAAACTAATTGAACAAGAACCATTGAAGGAAGATATTTTAGAAGTTTTGACAGGAGGTAACGAAAAAGAAAATACAACAATTGAAGAAGAAAAAATTTTAGATGACAGCAAAAATATGAATGAGATTAGCGAAGTTGAGCAAAATATTAAGGATAAGAGCCCTCCACCTGCAATGAAGAGACCTGGTAGAAATCGTAAGAACGCACAGGAAAAAATAAATGAACCATCCTCAATTGAATCAAGTAAGGAACAATCACTCGATGCTATATTGAACACTTTAAGTTCACCTGTGAAATCAATTGGAAGAAGTTTGCGTGGCAGAGCTAATACAGCTGCAACGCCATCTACAAATATGGAATCTGCTACAACAGAAAGTCAAACGTCAAAATCTCCAAATAAAAGGAGTCAAAGAAACGTAAATAAATTAGAAAAGGTTTTGAACGATACGCCTGCGGAGGCAGAGGATGCCGAAATTCCTTCAAAAAATACAAGGACATTGAGAGGTCAAAAATCTAAAACTTCAACTACTGAAGGACAAGCCCCTATATCTATCCCCACACATAATAACGAGAAAAAAACTATTGAAAAACGCGGTAAAAAAGCCACAGCACAAACTCAAAAGCAAAAAGAAAATTTTGAAAGTATTAAGGTAGTAGATAAAGATTCAAAACCTGAGGCTCAAGCCATTAGAAGTAGTAAAAGAAATATAAAAGCAGATAATATTTCATCGCCCCCATTATCTCCTACTAAATTATCCTCTCCCGTAAAAAGTGTAAAAGAAGAGTCGAATCTTCCACAGCGGAAAGGAAGAACTCCGAGGAAAGCTGCCTTAAATAATTTAAAGAACAACACCCAACCCCAAGAAGCAGAAGTTGCTTTAACGGAGGTAGATGACAATCTTCCAGAGGCAACCACTTCCGTTCCAATTGTTAGAAGTTATGGTGGTAGAAAAAGGAAACCCCAACCAGACACTGTTTTAACCGATATAACTCCGCCACCTTTATCAAAAGTACCCTCCACTGACACCCCCGATCCTTCAATAGATCTTCCAGAATCAACAGCAATAGATATTAGTTTGAAGCTAATAGAAGACAGTTCCGCTATCGACACTGATATTGTATCTTTAGAAAAAGACAAAGATGTTGACAATTCGTCATCGATTTCAGATTTATCACCGCAACCTCCAAAAAAAGAGTACAAAGTAAATAAATTTAAGAGAGCGTGGTATGAACGCGACTCGAAAACAAATCTTGAAAATGAGAAACCACTAGAAAATACAACTGAGAAAAGCGATTTTGAAGACGGTGAACCATTGATTAAAAAATCTATTCCAGCTTCAACAACTACTCTTAATAATACTCATGAAAAAATGAAATCTAAATCTAATAATAAAATTGTAAATAGTAATATGGAAACATGTAGTAATATCATGGGTATCAATTCTCCAGATGTAAACGATAATGGAAACAGTAATGGCAACTTGGATGAGAAACAAATAAAATTGGTTATATCAAAAAAGAAAGGTAGCATTTTCAAAAGTCGTGCTTTAGTTGCAGAACAAGGTGGAATGACATCACAAGAAAAGAAACGCCATACTTACATTCACAAATGGGATGCTAAGGATGAGCAAGGTAAATTACTAGTTTTTGATTTGTTCTTATTGTTGTTGAATTAATTGTTCTTTTCTTCTATTTTATTATATTATTTTATACCACTTTATATAATCCTTAAACATTTAATTCCAGAAGCTTTGGCAAATGCAGCTACCAACAACGAAAATAAAACAGCTGAAAAATCGCAAAGTTCCACAACAGAAAAAAGTAATGCTATGGATTACGATGAAGAAGACGATCAACCACTAGCCTTATCGACGCGGAAAGTTCGTCAAGTTACCTCTGTAAATGTTACCAATAAAATCAGTGATAACATGGACTTAGCACCTGGTCAGACAAAAGTTGATAAAAATACAAAAGAATATTATACAGTTATTAGAAATGTTAAAACCGCGCATCAAATTCAGGAAATTGGTGAATATCAAGAAATGGACGATGACGTTGAATATATTCTTGACGCCCTGCAGCCACGTAATCCAAGTTCAACAAGATGTTTATCGGCTTTGCAATTAGCTACGAAATGTATGACACCTGCGTTCAGAATGCATGTTCGAGCTCATGGAACTGTAACAAAATTTTTTAAGGTATTGCAAGATGCTAAAGCAGATAAAAGTCTTGGATTATGTACAGCCGCTATTATGTTTGTTTTATCACAAGATACACTTAATATGGATTTAGATCGCGATTCTTTAGAACTAATGATGAATTTATTAGAAAGTGATAGTGCTGATGCTGTAGATACAGCTAACTATGAACGTAATAAACAAAAAGTTCGAGAGTTATGCGAAGAAATCAAATCTCATGGCAAAGGAGCTCATTTAAATATTGACTCAATTTCAGCTGGAACATTAGCGATGGAAACTTTATTGTCATTGACATCAAAACGAGCGGGTGAATGGTTTAAAGAAGAATTGAGAGAATTAGGTGGATTAGAACACATAATTAAAACAATATGTGATTGTTGTCATCAAATATCCGATTACGTTGTTAGTTGGACCGAAGTTTTATTAGAAAAATTAAAAACTATTGAAAGATGTTTAAGGGTTTTGGAAAATGTATCATTTTTAAATGAAGTGAATCAAACATATATTTTAAAGTACGGTAATGGTCATGCTGTTAATACGTTATTTAAATTGTACAAATTGTGTGATAGTGAAATTGCTTTGTATCCTACAACTGATTCAACACCAAAAGATAATCCAGGTGTTGTTTTACGTGAAGCTTTGGTACCAACATTGAAGGTTTTGATTAATTTAACACATCCATTTGATGAAAAAGCTTTAGGAAGTTCGATATTGGGTCAAAGAAAAGGAGTATTTGATACAAGTTTTCACATATTATTGCAAGCACCCAATTATGTTCCGGAAAGATGTATATTTGAATTAAGCATACTGGTTAGTATAATTTTTTTCATTTTTCTAATAAAATTTCTAGTACAATTTTGTTTCCCAATTTTTAGGTGCTGCTTTTATTAATTAATCTTACCATGCATACTATACCTAATCGACAGCTTATAATGCAATCTCACGCGCCGTGCGATTTTGGAAATCAATTCGATAAACAAGCTGCCATCAAAGCATTAATTGAATATTTTTATCGTTGTGAAGAACAAGCAAGGTAAAACAAAAATTATATTGTAATTATATTGCATATTCAGTTTATCTCTTTTCCTGATTTCAGACAAGCTGAAAAAAATACGGATTCTATTCTGGAAAACCCATTAGAAAAGAAAAAAGCACAATCGCAAGAAGAATTCGATGAAACTGTTACAAAACGTAAAAAAAAATTGAATTTCTACTTCATTTAAAATCCTAACTTATATATTATTATAACTCTACATGTATTTCATTGAATTTTAATTTTTAGTTTTACAAAAAGCTGGTCATCACATGGAACACACATTGCAAGCGAGTTATGCTGGAATATTAGTAGGTCATTTAATATCAGACAACAAAGAAAATGAACAAATAATACGATCATATCTGCGAGATAGTAGTTTTAGCGACATTATCAAAATTTTAGAAAAATATTACAATTTCATGAATTTAACAGCAAGTGTAAGTTTTAATTAATAAAAACCATTGATAATATAAATTCATTAGTTCATAGTCAAAATATCAAAATTATTGGATATTTTTATTTTAGTCTGAAGCGCATTTAGTTTCGCATATAAAATCAACTAAAAAATTAATAGATTATTATAAACAATGCGAATCACATTCCAATGATGAAAATGAAAAAGAAATCAATTTAAGCGAGAGTAGTAAAAGCAACATCAATAAATCACATCACAATGATGATGCAAATAAAACAATATATTCAGATACATCTACAGTATCATCTACATCTGCAGAACCAGCACCAAGCACATCATCAGTTTCAACTAGAAATAATATTCGTGTTTATAAAACGTACAGTCAAAGATAGAGAAAATTCCCAATTTTATAATACAAAGTATGATACAATAAAATAAAACTGAATAACTTCGAATAATGTTTCCGTAACAATATTTCGTATAAGGGTGGGTATATGGGGAAGTAATGTTAATTAAGTTGTTTTGTGTAATACCAGTTTGTTTTATTTTCTATTTTTTTTTGTTTGTTTATTTATAAAACTGAAGAAACTTATAATAATTCAATAGTAATAAAAGTAATTAAATGATTTCCTTATCTTAATTACAAAGTAAAAATTTAATTATATTTAAAAAAATTATATAATTTTTTCCTAGTTTTAAGAATTTAATAAAAAATAATGATATGAATACAAATAAGAATTTACTTAAGCTCATTTAAACCTGAAAATTCGTAAAAAAAACTTTAAATAATAATTAAATACAAAAAAAAACATAACATATGTAAGAAATTAAATTTTTTTTTCTGTTTTTACAATAAAAATGAATAAAATGAATATTATGTTGTATGCATATTACATGTTAAATAGCCTAATTTATGTGTATATTTTAAACTATTTAATAATATAGTTAAACTATATGTTGAAATTTTTAAATCATCTTTAATAAAAACATTAAAATAAAATAATAGCTAAACAAAACAGATTCCCCTTTTTTAACTGAAAAATAAATTTTTGTTAATTACATTGATGTAAAAATTTGTTAATAAGTTTAGAAAAATTATATATATCAAGCGAAAGTCCAAACCGTAGATGTAAGAGTAATAATAGGCGACACTTTCTAATTATACATTTACCGTGTCTGCCTCAAAGTTGTTCTTTCATTAAAGAGCAGAAAATCTCTTTGTTGAGTAATTTATTTCGATTTTTTAAACTACAATGACAGAATTTTAAGCAAATAAGACACAAAATTTGTATTTTTTATTTTATTTTTAAATATGGTAGAATGAAGTATTGAATATGTATATATATGTATATATATACTTTCTTATTTAAATGATTACAAATTTCAAAATTAATGTCACTTAAATTGGTTTCAAAACATTGAAAAATAAATGTCAATGTAATTAACGAAGAATTTTATTGTTCTTAAATTCTTTTTCTTTTTGAATCATTGAAATAATATAATGAAAACAAATGTGACCAATTTAAAAAATACAAAAGAAAATCCATGATAAAACTTAAATGTAAAACTTTTAGAACAAAATTTTAAAACGATGTATTAAAAAAATTTAAATATAAAAAGTCGTCACTAGTATTAGCACGTCTTCATTATAGTTCTTAAGAAATAAAACTTTAATATTACTTTATTCTTCGACCTGTAAATGAATGTTTTAATGATCGAAGACTATATTAGATTGTATTTATGTAAATGTATATGCAAAACGATGAATATAATTTACTTAAATATAATGTGTAAATTATGTGCATTTTGCATATATATGTATAAATTAAATAAATATGTATATACATGCAAGTGTATATATGTACATGCAAAAGAATTTTTTATTGCAGTTTTAGCCTTTAAGAAACAGAACAAGCATTAGTAAGAAAATTAAAATACATCTTGTAAATAACTGTTGTTTAAAATGAAAAAAGTATAAAAAAAATAATTAATAAATATTTAGTACATTAAATTTTATTAATATATTTATTTTATGTAGCTGCACATTTTATTCATTTAAGTGTAATGTTCATAGGATTCTTTTTTCAACCCGATTTGGCTTTAATTAACTCACCAGTATTTATTTAATAATAATTAATTTCAATAATTAATTAATTATTTGAAATGACAGTATTTTTCTCGTACAATTTCTTTTAATGAAAATTCCAAAAATAAGGGGGCAACCTAAAAGTTCAAGAAAATTTTGGGTTTTTTTTCTAAAAAACAACGTACATGTGTATAATTTTTGTTTCAGAATATTATATACAAAACCAAGTATAGTAAAATAAGTAGGCAAGAAATACATACGTAGATATGTATGTACATATAAAATTATATGCATACAGGGCTGCCAAATAGAGTAGTCTGAATTTCTTCATTTTTTCAAAACAAAATAATCATTTTGAAGATTTTATTGAAGAAAAAATATTCACGAAACCTTCTAGGTCTTCATTTAAATTTAATTGGAATAAGTGGGAAGTAAAAATATCACGATTTTAACTCAAACCAAGCTAAAAAACACCAAAAAGAAAAAGTAAGAACATCCAGAATCTCATAAGAAGTCATTACCCGTATACACATTTAGTAAATACCACCGCTGACAGACATACAGACCCACTAACATAAAGTGACAGTTCACAGCTGACGAATTAACATTAAAAAATTCATTATGCATATATTTTACAAAGCTTGTTCGAAAATTATGCTGTGTTCTTGCATAAAAAATTTTGAGTAAAAAATTACAAAATTTGTTAGACTATTAAATTTGACTCAGTTAACTATTTAACATTTTAATGTCTTTTGCCATCAGCATTTTTCTCTTTTGTTTACAGGACTTTAAATATTAATAATGCACAACCGCATTCTAAAAATCTTAACCAGTCGAACAATTGTAAAAACAGCAAAATCATTTACTGATACTGAGTTTTTTTAAAGTTGTCAAAATATGACAAAATGTAAGAAAAAATCTGAAATCATCTATATTGTGGCAACACTATTCAATCCGAAAAAATATCTGACATTCATATTCCACCATCCATGTGTTAATCAAGAAGTGTAATCAAGTGTTTCTTTTTCTTATTTACAAATATATCCATCTTTCTGTACAGAGATTGAAATAAATGAAATAAATCAACATGAGTGGGCTTGATAAAGATCAAATGAAAACTGTAAGGATATCTTTAACTCATAGAACAATATTTACCACACAAAATTCGTTGTATTTGGGGTTAGCACAATAAAAAAAAACCAATTTCGATTTTCGTTTTAGTTTCAAGACTTTTTGATGTCTTACAACAAATTATCTGAATTGTGTTTTGTAGATTGCGTTAAGGATTTTACATCAAGAAAAATTGTTCAAGATGAAGTAAGTTATATGATTATTGGATTATAAAATAATGAAAAACATTTTAGGAACGTTGTGCATTAAATTGCATGGAGAAGTATTTAAAAATGAATCAAAGAATATCTCAAAGATTTCAAGAATTTCAAATGTTAGCTAATGAAAATGCCATAGCAATGGGTCAAGGTCCTCAAAAAACTTAAAAACAATATATAATTAGTTTCAGCATGTATTTTGTTAACTAGCTTTAAACAATTGGATATTAAATTGTCGTATAGAATTAGAAACATTTGTTTTTGCAAATATTAGGTGTTTTTTTGACGCTTTAATTGATTCTCTAATCCCTTGATCACAATTATTATTCCTGAACAAATTATTGAGGGATTTTTTGCATATTAATAACGTAACTATGTATTGTAATACATATAAAATAATTTTTAATTTAATGGTGATAATTATTTCCTGGCATTTTTTCGTATAAGTCTTCAAATCCTTCTGATTCAGATATTAGGGCATGCTCTAAAATTACTCTACCTTCTTTGTACCTTAAATTAAAAAATCTCATTGACTTTTTCGTAAAATATATGTGAACATTTTCTTACTTTTGAGAATCATCTGTTGCAAATTCATACATCCAACCAAGCTTATTGGCACAATTTTTGCACATAACGTCTCGTACCATATGACGTCCAGTTAACATAACACGATCTTGTACGTTACTATGAGTCAAATTTACAACCCTCTTAAAAAGATAAGCTCTACCTAAAAAAAATTGCTCAGAGATATTACTTCATTAATTTTCTTTTATTTGCAAATTGTATTACCAGTAGCACCAGTGAATCGAGTGCTTATAAGTTCTTCTTTGTTTGTTAAATAAGCGTCGCAATTATGACAAGTATAAATTTTTTTACCTCCAAGATGCTCAAGGAAAACTTTTCCCATTGTGCTTTAAATTGTTCTTGGAACGTGAAACAACTTCTTAACTGATTAATTTGAGTTATCCTATTGTGAGAAAATATTAATGTATAATATAAGTAAGTATTATTCCGAAAGCATAGAACAATAAAATCTAATGTTTTGTATATGCAGTTTTGTTTATTTAGTTATAAATTGACAATTGATGTCAAGCAATTGAAGTATTGTAAAAATCAAGGTGGACAGTGTTCTCACTCGTTGACAGTGTTCCCACTCGCTGTTTATTATGAGAGACAAAACCACTCAAAATTGGTAAAGGTTTAAAAACTTTTAATACACAATTAGTTTTTGCTTTTTAAAAATTTAATTCATTCGTATACAATTTATTACTGTTTTCAGTTCTCTTTTATATAGGCATATTGATTATAATTTATTTTCAGCTTTCGATTTTTTTGCTTAAATTCTGGCCAAAAATGTTTATCTAGCAGAATTTAAAAATGGAGACTCAGCTGTTTTTCAATTTTGGTCTGTATTCCCGTGATAAAAAATGTTTTCGTTACTAGGTTTTTGTAGAAACAGCTGTTTGCAATATTCACTGCGTTGACAATAGACAAAATGATGACAATGGGCATTATGCATATTGTTTTCTTTTTTCCTGAATAAAAAAAAATTAATTTTAATTATTGCTAAATTTGAAAACGAATGTTACATACATATGTGTGTACACAGATATTGAAATGGAGAAACTAGTGCCAGATCCAGAATACACAAGAACTACTCATTTAGTCATTGATGGGATGGCGGCAGAGTTTCAAAACCCTCCTCAACCAATTTCTATTCCCAGGAATGAAAATGTTCATAAATTATTTACGGTATCTGATAATCAATTGCACGTAGTTGTAAATTCATCGGTAAAATCAGGGATTTATAAGAAAGTTCCAAAGCAAAAAGAGGAAAATGAACCCATTAGTTTGTATAATTGCACAAAGTTTATGGAAAAAAAATTAGAAACTCTAGCAACAGAGGTATTAAATTTATCACCTGGGAAGTTTAAAATTTATAAGTATGTTATACATATGTAATTATATACACAACATATACAGTACGAGATTTGAATAATTTTATAACTTTTTTTTTAGAAATAGGAATATTGTAGTGGGAAAGGATAGTAAGCAACGAAAAAGGTTCATTTATAAAATTGTTGAGCCTCGATCTTTAAATTTGTATTCACCAAGCAATGATGGTTCGAAAAATATTGATAATTTAAAAAGAAATGTTGGAAGGCCTAGAAATTCTTCAATACTTAAAGTAGAGCCAGAAAAACAAATTATTCCGGTATCAATAACAAGATCTGGAAGAATATCAAAGCCGACTATAAAGAGTCATAATGGTATTGTCCTTACACCTAGCGATATTATAAAAGGATCAGATCAGACGTTCACTGTACCAGAAATAAAAGATAAAGATTTTAAGTATTATAAAGATGTCACTTCTCGTGAATTTTTATCAGAAAATTTACCGATAGAAAATTCGAAAGATAAAAGAATCCGCAAAATACCTTCAGATTCTCAGTGTCCAGTATGTAATAAAATATTATTGGGAAAAAGAATGCAAAAACATTTTGAAACTTATCCAGATCATAATATAAAAAACCTAGAAAAAGCTCAGTCGTCTGTCTATGAGTTGACATTATATAAATTTCTAGTTAACAAAATTAAATTAATTTCAAATGATGATAATGACCAAAAAACAGACCTGTTTTTAACAGAGCTTTCTGATTTAATAGAACAAATTCAGTCTCGCAATTCTAAGTTAGTTCAAAGTACATCTGGAATACATTTTGTTTCTTTAAAATTGTCAAAAATTTTGGGTATTCCTGAAGGGCAATATTCAATTAACATGAATGCCATAGAATCCATGCCAGATCCGGTTATCCCCATAGAAGAAACAATGCAACTAAGACCTTTGGCACCACCGCAGCCAAGATTGGCGGATTATAATTTGAGTATATCGCTTGATGACACAATAACGGCGAAGTTAAATCTATCTGATAACATTATTCCGTCTGAGGAAAGTCTGTTAAGGACGGTAAATGACTTAGTTCAGCAAGATATTAAGAAAATAGGAGATCACGATGATATCAGTTTAAATAGCGACATGTTACAGCTCTCACAAACAAATGATAAAACAAGCGTCATGCATTACGATCATGCCAGTGATAATGCTGTAGAAGCACTCAATATGAAATCTACTTTGCAACCGCCCATATTAGATTTATCTTTGGATTTGTTTCAATTTACTAGTTAGTATGATATATAAAAAATATGTTATTTTTAGGTTAACTTTTAGTTAAAATCTTATACAAACTCTTATTATTTATCCATAAATTAAAGAGAGTTTTAAAAAAAAATAGTAGGCATCAAATTTGTTGTCCTTTTAATTGAAAATATTTTATTAATCAGATACACTAATGATCTAAATTTGTATTAATGTACATACATTTATATGAAAAAATTACATTTATAACTTGAAGTCATTATTAATTTTTATTTAAATAGACAGAGGAGTAAGAAAAAATATGTAAGTACGTATAGTATAATGATTTTCGCTATAGTGGAACTCACTCAAGTCTTAGTTGTTGAATCCAGGGTTCCGATACATAGATGAGGCTTCTTTATAGATTGGATTATCATCCTGAAAATCAATATTAAAAATGTATAAAAGTACCTATATAAGATTAACATTATGTAAATTTTACAATCTTATTGCTACTTACTGTATTCCATTTGGCCATTAACTTTTCTTTTTCAAATTTCGAATATTCACGTTTATCGTGTACTGTTGTAACTACTTTCCACGAGAGTAGGCCGAACAGACCTAAGGCTAAAATAGGTAGTATAACATATGCTGCTGTTTCAGCTGCTGAAGTTTGTATTGGACATTTTTTTTGCTTTTCTGCTCTAACTTCAATTTTATGTTCGTCATTTTGATTCTTATTATATTCGAATATGTATTCGCAATCGTTTTTATCCTTTATCGTACATATTTTCCATAAATCTTCGTCATCACTTTTAGGGTCTTCAATTTTGTCCAAAATAATTGTATGAAAAAGCGTACAATTTTTCAAACATTCATCTTTTGTGAAAAGTCCTGAATTATAAGCTTGACACTCAACACAATCCTTATATTGTGAGCAGAGGTTACAAGTTGGACATTCTTGGCAATATAAACCTGAATAATATTCATTACATCTAAAATAGAAAACGTATAATGTGGAATATAATCTAATCTTTTATGATTTCTATATAAAGCTTACATGCATTCACCACATTTACATTCCCCCTTGCCTGAACAAATTTTTAAATCTGGTTTTTCGAAACATGCCTCTTGTGATACTTTACAGTGACAGTCAGGCCCTGACCATCCTGCTTCACATACACACTGACCGCATGTACATGTTCCATGATCTTTTCCAGAGCATAATAAACCTTCGTGTCGAAGACACCGAAAATTATCACATTCACAATATGCTCCACTTATAATTTCATCGGCGTTTTCTTGTTTATTACAATCGCACACTCCGCATTTGCATGTACCAAATCCGCTACAATCAACTTTTGTTACATTGTCTGGACGGCAGCCGGCAGACGATGTTTCTGTATTTAGACGTTCACTGTAATATAATTATGAAAATGTCTTAAACTTAATTAATGGTAAAATAATATTGGAACTAAATTATTAGATTGCGCTCTTAATTGCTTTTACAAAATAATATACATACATGTGTACATATCGGTACAGAAAATGTTTTAATTTTGGTAGTAACTACTGGCTCAGACCTGACTTTGAGACTATTGAGTATTGGAAACCTCGAGTAAAACTTCGCATTATTATTGATATAAAAATATTGATTATCGAAATTGAATATCGATTATTAAATGATTTTTGCTTTATTAATTTGATACAAAATTTGCGTTCATTGTTCAATTTAAATAAGTTTGATTGAATGATTTTAGTAAGAATTTTTGAGTCTCGAATTTATTAGTTATGAAAAATTTTTGTTTTATTATACTAAAAAATTTCTAAAAATTAAAATAATCTTTAAAAATTGTGTTATAAATAAACATTAGTTATTTTATTTTGTAATATCAAAAGTTTTAAGAAAAAATAATTTGCTTTGCCAAACTTTGACTACATACGTATGTATGTAGATATGTTAATGATAATTTTAAGTTTTAAGTCATGATAATTTTGAGTTTTAACCGTATTTTAATTATTTAAATTTAATTTAATTAAACTTTTGTATGTACATGGACACACATCTATGTACATATATTTCAAACTTTAGTTAAATTACACAATGCCAAATATAAATCTAGTTTGCGGCCGCGGAAAAGCTAATTAGAGTTTAGATACTAGTGTAATAAAAATTTAAATTGGCACCTTGAACATTCGCATTTACGTCCATAATATTTATCGTTACAATCACATAATCCACATTTATAGGTTCCTTGGCCACCACATTTATCTGATATTTCTTCATAAGTTGAATGGGTAGATTCTTCACAATCGCAACCACATATGATTTCTAAGTCAATAGTTAAACTTTCATCAATTCCAATTGGATATATTTGAATTATTTGTTTCCAATCGTTTTTATCTTTTGGACATCCCAAAACTTCAATTCTTGCTTCAAAATTCACAGTGCTGTCATCTTTTAACTCACTACACTTATATTGCTCTCGTTTCTTTTCATTTGGGTTTAGACATGATGTAAAATATTTTATATCTACTGGCGAGGTGGCGTTATCTGTTATTTCAATAGAAGAAGTGATTTTCTGCGAAGTAATAGAAGTTTCTTAATTAAATGAAATGGTTTATGAGCCAAAATACAAGCTTTTCTATGATAAATTTTTATATATAACTTGGAAAATACACATTTATACTACATACATGCATACACACTTTATATGCTATATTTTTTAGAGGAACTTTAGCATTTGCTTAAATTTGAGAACAATTAATGTTAATTTTCCAAGGTATCACGATCTCAAAATAGAAGTCTACTTCAAAAATATATACATACTACAAGCATTTTCTACTTTCTTACATTGTACTGATCTCTTATTAAATCTACAACATTTGATGAGCTCTCGTCAAGTACACCAGAAGTTGCGCCTTCTATTGCATTTGCTAGATCCTTATAAATAGTTCCAACATCTTTCGTGACTGCGAAAATTATATTAACAGCATTTTTTTTTACAACATCATTTATATGAGAGACACTTGGATAATCTAAAACTTCTGCTTGGGTATAGGTGTTTCCTTCCATATGACATTTTCCATCATTTGGTTCTATTAGACCAGCAAGCTTTTTTGAAAAAAAAAATCAAATGTTCATGAAAAAATATGTTTATTATATGTTGATAGAAATTCTACCTTTCCATCACCAGCATAATGAAATCCGGCGTCACTTGAATAAACCAGAACACGACGCGCAGAATCTCTCCAACCGATCTCTTTCCGACAAACTATAGCCTGCATCATCGCATCAAGTCCGCCTTCAGGTGAATCTATATTTCCAGATACCTTAGCCGCTTTTACTTCACGCTATAACAACAATTAATAATTTCTACATACTCTTTAAATGATCCTAATTCAAAGATTTTAATTTTACTATTTTCTTAATTTCCTTTCTACACTTTTGAAGATGTAAACTAATTTTATAAGAGAGCAAGATGCTTTTATAAAGTTAAATTAACAACATTGGCCAAGTAAACGTCGATACTCAATAATCTTGGGTAGGTGATTATTTAGTAATAATTAAACTAAGATCAGTTATTAAAAATTATATAAAATTTTTTTGTCGTAAATTACCTCGAAAATGTTAACATTTGTCGTCAAATTCATGTGATGAATGAAGGAATATGGCGGTGCGCATTGATTCTCCTTTGTACTGCACGGGTCTTTTAATCTAGAAAATATATGAGTTTAAAAAAATTAAAGTAGAAATAAAACTTTACAACTTAATCAGTATTACTTTTCGGGCATTATAGAAGTAAATGGCATCAGTACTTTATCTACAAAAGATCCAAAACCAATTTGAAAATTTCTTGTGATATTTTTCATTGCGTTTGCTAGTGTATTGCCGAGTGATGACAATTTCTCTTTATGATTCAGCATTGATCTGGATAAATCCATTAAATAGTACAGATCTATTGGATAATCTTCTGCTTGGGAATATTCAAAGTTAAGTGTATGAACTTGGTCTACAAGAAAAAAAATAGAGATTTTGTAAAGAAAAAAACTACTTTTACAGCATACTGTAGTTTTATGTTTAGCTTACGCGGTCTTAACTTCAAAGAAACACGTTGAGGTCTTATTTGAACAATTTTTGTATCCTTATAATCCTTTATTTCTTGATTTTTTAATTTTATTCTAGTCAGTTCCTCAGATATATTTATAGTTTCAGAATTAACTGGATTAACAATAAACTTTTCCGTACATGATTTATATGGTTTTGAGAAAACTTCAACACATCTTGGTTGTTGTTGAAAATCTTCTTTTGTGCACCATGCACAATTTTTAGTTTGAATACATTCGCCACATTGTTCCTTACTTGTACATTCATTTTGGCTAACAGAACTCCCAATTAAATTATGCATTAAAAATATGAATAACAGAATGTTAAAAATATCATATCGCATTGTGTTTTTACGGGATTGCATTGCCATTTTTAAAATTTCATATATGCATGTATGTAAGTAAATTTATGTTCATATGTAAAAACAAAACACAAGTTCCTATAATAAATTTTAATCTTATAAAATAATTCAGAATAATATTTTATTATATAATATGTATTTATTTAAATAAAACTAAGTATAAACACTCGTGAAATAATAGAAAAAGCATAACTGTAAATGTTTTGAAGAAATTTTCCCTTTGTCTCATTGAATCTAGTAGGGGTTTCCTATTGTACTTATATGCATAACCGCACTGTAAAGTTGAAAACCGCGAATAATTTTCCATTATAAAAATATGGAAGGTTTTCAATCATACATATGAATCTATGAGTGAACATATGCAATAACCGATTCTAACTTTTTATACTTTACATATGTATAAATATATAATTAATGCATAAAATATAAGAATAGAAAATGTATAAAAAAAAATAAAAATTTCGTAGAATTAACGAAATTGGAGCTATGATAGAGTTAAATTGGTGATTAATACGAAAAATATATTTTAAAAAATGATTTTTAATGAAAATTATGATGATCTCAGATATCAAAAATTTAAAAAAATTTTTAAAATCATATGTGTATACATATTTTAAATTATAAATATTTTTGAAAAAATTGCAATGACTCTCAATTTTCTCGTATTTTGTTCAATTATTATTCTCGTTTAATATTGAATTATGAATTATAAAAAATTATTTAAATTAAAAAACGACCTATTTATTGTTCAATCAAGAAAACATTAATTAAGAACATTTTATTACTTATGTAGTACCCACTTTATTTTGTATAAGTGTCCGTTTTTTTGCTCGGGTTTCAATAACTTTTTCCAAAATTATTAACAGTTTTAATATTTTTTTTTTATTTATTTTCCGTTCGTTATTATACCGCTCGTATTGAATTTTCGTTCTTAACTGGTCTTACTTTACATTTCAGGATTCAATTTGAATAAAAAACGATAGCGGTTTTTGGGGCTATAAATGTGGTTTTAAAATAATTAAAATATTCTAATCACAAATTCTACAATATTTTAGTGAATGAAATTATATAATACATAAAGAAGATACATACATACATATGCATGTACATCTTAATATTGATTAAGAATGCAAACTAAATAATTTAAATATTAAAATATTTCATATTATGCTAAGTTAGTTATAGCCACAAATGTTTTATAGAGCATTGAGCTAATTTTATAGAATAATAAAATTATGTTTATGAGTATAATGGTCATAAAACGTAAATACTTGTTTTCTGTTAAGCCTTGTGAACAGTTGAATCAAATTGAAATAAACAAATTTTTCTAAATAGTATTTCGTTTTCAATTAATATGTCTAATATGAACTTCAGAGCCTAATTGTGGATGTCGATTACAATCAAATCGATTTATAAGTCGATTTATAAAAATAAACGATTTATTTACTATAGAAAGTTGCCATAAATACTAAAAAAATCTTAGTTGTCCACAATGAAATTAGTGTCAATTCGTATATTTTCCTGTTCATTGAATCTATCAAATCAGAAAATTTTATTTTTTTACTACCAGACGAATCAATATAAATATTCAAATTCGACAATTTACTTATTTTGTCTTCGGTTTTACTCAATCTATGTATATTTTCTATGTATGTTATATAACAATTGAAACTTTTTCCGAAACTCCTAGAACTCGTGTGTCTTACGTAATATTTATTTCGCCCCTACATTATTTACAATGACTAAATCAGTTAATATTTTATGACTGTTTCAAATCGCTTGTCTGCTAGGTATAAGTCTTAAAATGTTGTGAATTTGGGATAATAAAAGTCTGGAGAATCAAGATTAATCATAGAAAATGGCAAATTTGAAATTTGCAGAAATGTATATTATGACATTTAGATTTAACCGGTGAAAGAAAAGTCTAATAATTATTCAATATTTTGGCATTGAATAACAATTGAATAAAAATGTTTTGCCAAAAAAAAACAAACTTTAAGATTTAAATTTAGTAACTACACACATAATATGAGATATTACAGTTTAATCAAAGTACCTATACAATTGTTTCAATAGATCAGGTTGACACAATAACAATTCTATCATAAACTGATTTACCTAACAAACTTGTTTCTAAGTAACCACACATTTTTTATTGATCAAATTAAATAATAAATTTAATTATTGTATTATTGTGTGACGAATTACGCCTGTAGAGAAAATATTTAATTTATACCGAAATTGTTGGAAATGGATAAACCGCGGATGATAGAATATATTTCTAAAAATTTAGATTATACTGTATTCGATGTCAAATGGATACCATGTTCAGCAAAATTTATAGTTGTAGGAGTTCGCCCAAAAGGTAGTGGAATAATACAAATTTATGAACTCAATGGCGCTGATGTTGATCTAATCAAAACAATTGAAAAGAAAAACGCTTTAAAGTGTTCTACATTTGGAGCGTCCACTTTAAGGCATCGACATTTAGCTGTGGGTGATTATGCTGGTAGAATGATGATTATGTATGTTAAGTTTTAAGTTAAGCAGTTAAGCATTGTATATGTAATGTAAAATATTTTTTAAGCGATTTAGAACGACCTGATTTAGCTGTTTACAATGTGGAAGCCCATAAGCAAATAATAAATTCAATTGATGGAATTGGAGGTGCACAATTGAATTGCGGTGCTCCAGAAATTGTAACAGGGGGTAAGGATGGAGTTGTAAAAGTATGGGATCCACGACAAGGATCTGACCCAGTTGTCAACATTGAACCAGAGAGTAGCGATGCTCAATCTTGTCGCGATTGTTGGACAGTTGCGTTTGGCGACTCACATAGTAACGAAGAAAGAAAAGTTGCTGCTGGATATGATAATGGGGATTTAAAAATGTTTGATCTTAGGAATTTAGATGTTTATTGGGAAACTTCGCTTAAAAATGGGATTTGTTCAATTGAATTTGATCGAAAAGACATTAAAATGAATAAATTTGGTGTTACAACATTAGAAGGTGGATTATATGTTTATGATTTGCGAACATTTCATAAGGAAAAGGGTTTTGCATATGTACAAGAAAAAAATGCAGGGCGTTCAGTAGGTACTAACGGGGTAATAAGTGGACCAAAATCAACTGTTTGGTGTATCAAACATTGTCCACAAAATAGAGATATTTTTGTAACGGGTGGTGGTACTGGGTCTGTAAGGCTATGGCAATATCAATATCCAGAAAAGAGAAGGCAAGAAAATAGTTCAAGTGGTGATGTTGGTGTTGCTGGAACAATAAAAATGTTGCATGCTTCAACTTTGTCCACACAGCCTGTCCATTGTTTCGATTGGAGTCCTGATAAATTGGGTTTAGCAGTGGCTGGTTCTTTGGATCAAGCATTCAGAGTTATATTAACAACAAAGCTAAATTGTTACTAGAATTTTTATATAAATGATTTTTTTTTTTGAAATATAATCTTAAATAACTATATTATCTATTAATAAGGCGAAAAACTTAAATAATTGTAGTATATAATTGCAAATTATATATTTACATTATTAAATTTTTTCAACTGTTTAATATTAATCAATAAAAATTTTAGTTCGTTACGCTCATTACGTTATTTTATCATGAGGTAAATAGCCAGAGTAATGAAGGTTATTGAGTAGTTCGATTTAATGATTGACATTACAATAGAGAAAAGAAAATTGTTACTAGCTGTGATATTTTGGTTTTCACAAGCAAAATAACTGAATATAATACTGAAAGTACTATACCGTATAATATTGTTCAAAATAATTTGAATTAAAACCATAAATACTCTTAAATCAGATAGGAATACTTAATTACTACTATATATTACTTGTAGTGACTTAATACGAATACGTACACATTTATTTATAATTTTCATTAGATATGCTCAAATGCTTACTTGTGTACAATATCTCTACTTCCAAATTAGAAACTGAAGATTCTCACTTCAATATCGCTAATAAATAGTAAGGATCAACATATAAAATCCTAAAGCAAAGTAAACATTACAATCAATAACTGATACTGTTTCTAAAAGTTACACTTATTGATGTACTTATCATGGAAAAACTTTAAGTAGACGCAATATGCAATGCAATATGCCTCTGCTAATTTCCTATCGATATCTAGAATACCTTGAACAATAAATTAGTTGTTCAGTTCTCATCAGTTGAAGTACATGAACTTATATTATTCTCCCTATATAAAATGTATTTAACCGTAAAATAGAAATTGGCAGCTTTTGAAGTTGCTCGTGTTGTGGAAGATTTGGTTACCTATTTGTAATTTTCTTTCAGAAAACAATAGCTAATATCTTCACAACAAGATTGTTTTTTTCTCTTAACCGGGCATGGAAATTTCCGAATCATTTCATTTTTTTTTTTAAATTTTCCATATTTTTCTTCTTTTTGTACGATAAAACCATTTTTTATGGAAGTTTACATTTTATAAGTTGTGAAATTTGGCCTGCAGCCAAAAAATTTAAGGCTTTTTTGTAATTTTTTTTATATTTCAATGGAATAATATCAAGAAACTTGAAAAACAGAAGAAAAACTAGTGCAACATTGGTTATTAGATAAAATATTTTATTTATAGTGCGAATTTATCATAAGAAATATGGGAACATAACAAAAACAGCAAAAAAAATTAAAGAAGAAAATATAAAAAATGAGACGAATTTTTTTTTTTCAACTTTTTATGATATTTTTCATACTTTTATGAAATGGGTTTTGGTTTTTTTCATATCAATTGGGATGATTTTTTAGGTCAATTCATAATAGAATGTTTGCGTTTCAATGTGGAAATTTAATGGTTTCCTTTGATGCAAATTATGTGAATATAATTTCTTTTTTTCCTTATTGATCCTATTTTTATAATAAAACTTTTAATTTCGTTAGAATGATTTTTAATAAACATATGTGCATATGTATATATGTACGTATCTATGAAGTATATATTATTATATTTCTAAATGCACTTATATATTATTTTGGTAATTTTTTATCAGGTTATGTAATTGTAAAATGAAATTCTTGCACAAATGAATATTTCACGAACTCATCAGTGTTTCTGATTTCTAAAGAAGACCTGAAAATTTAAAGAGGACTGTAGTGTAAAATTGTGGTGGGGAAATATAACTATTTTTGTAGATATATGTATGTATGTACATATATGTATTGTAGAACTATTAAATTTTCGCTACGCTAAATTATGCAGATGAAGCTTAATATTATTTCTATAGTTTGATTCAAATATTTTTTCTTGATAGTTTTTTATGCTAATATTTATTTACAGAATATTAATTACTGACAACTTATTTTTAAATTTTAATATTCAATTACAAAACAGGTACTAGTATTTTAAAAATATTTTCATAAATATTTTTATTTTCTATAATCACACAAAATTATAAATTTTGGTAAAGCTTCTTTATATAATTTTAACTTAGACTCTTTAGCTAGAAAATCAAAACAAATTTATTACTATTTCATGAAGAAAAGTTTTAAAATATCTAAAAATCATGTGTACACACATATACAAATATAGATATATAATGTACATGTTTTTGCCTATATTTTAATTTGAATAAAGGATAAATTTCGTTTTTTTTTGGGCTTAAGAACATTTTCTTACAAAAAAACCCATTACGAACATGTTCTTCTTTTTAAAATATTCAAATTTCTTCCGCATTCGAAATCCTATCTTTGCTATTCTTAAATGAAAACAATATTAAAATTTTTTAGAAGAAAAAAACAAAAAATATTGTAAAATTGTATCGGGCTCTTATTTTAATAGATTTTATTCTACCCATTACGTTTACTAAATATTCTTTTACAAAATATCTTAAATTTATTTATAATTCTGTTCGAATATTACCTTTTAGATAAATAATTTAGTAAAAGAAAATTTTTTTTTATTTTTTACGCGAAAATCCTTAAAGGACATAATGTATAGGCATAAGTTCTATTTTAATAAAATATATGTTTTGTCTTTTATTTGTATGTACTGTATGTAGGCAGGTACTTGGTTTAAATTTTTAATGTTGGGGCCTATTTGTAAAAAATGTCTAAGAAGAAAGTGTTTGTAAAGAGAAAACGATTAGTTGAATTAACGCATATATCTTTCTTTTAAATGAGAATTTGATCTGTTGATAACGATATGCATGTGTGTTTGTATAACACACACATACAAACACATATACATATTTACAATATGTAATCTTAACTAACTGGACTGGATGACAACTGCAATAGTTGTCTTAAATTAAATGAAGTTTTTAAATTATTAATGTTGTTTGAAGTATAAATAAAATGTAAAAATAATTTATTGTTTAAAATATTAAAATATCACATTATTCAAAGAAATTATTTACATTATATGCACAATCTCAAGCCGAATTTATAGTTTAAGTTCAAAATTTCAAGTTTTTGCCTTTAGTCAGTCGCAGTTTAGAATACCTTTCGTAGATAAATGTTATACTGAAAAAAATATACGAATTTTATTATCTATTAACAATATCTATAATTTTAGTAGAATTATTAATAACATTAGACCAAAAATTTGGAATGAAAAGGGATTTTCTTTCAAATTTAAAATATTTTAATTGCTCAAATAAAAAATTTTTCTTAACTTCAATATAAAAAATCTCAAATTAGTTCCAACACTGATTTGAAGAAAACAACAAAAAAAAATAGAATAAAACAAAACATTTTCTGTTATGTTATTCCAAAAATATTTTAAAACTGTACACACGATAGGCTTTTATACAAAATACGAATAAGTAAATTTTCCTCTCTGTTGTTTATGTGATCCTGAAAATTTGAATTTATTATCGCCACCAACTTTATTTTTCTATTTTCTCTTTCTTTCTTGTTTTTTTGTGTTAGAGAATTTTATGCATAGCATATTTTTAGGGGAATTATACTTTTGGAAATAAAAAAAGAAATTGAAAAAGATTTTGAAAAAAAAAATTGAATTGGGCAACAGATGATACCAATAACTAAGAAAGATTGAAAAATAATGGAAATATGAAACAACAAAGAAAAAATAATAAAAATATGGAAAATTAGCTTTTATGTAAATAATTTTTCATGCTGAAAATTTATGTTGTAATTTAGATTGCCCGAAATTTATTTGGTGTGTTTTAAAAAATTTTCAGAAAAAAAAAACAAAATACGCAATTTGGCATTTTTGCATAATTTTTAAAAATTGAGGTAAAATTACACAACTATGTAATGTAAATTTAAAAAAAATTAAAATAAATTAATTAAATTGTTAAAAATCTTATAAACTAATTAAAGATTATTATTTTCTTAGGTGAATTTCACATCATTATCGTAAATGCAATTTTCAATTTCTGCTTACAAACCACTACGAAGCAATTGTAGTAGGGCTGTACAACAATGCACAGAAGATCAAGAATTACATTAAATATTACTAAATATCCAATTTTTAATATGTACTATTAAATTTTTGAAAACGAATGTAAATTGTATAAATTGGACAGAAATATTTTATTAACAAGTCCATTTTATTTGCTTAAAAGAATTTGAGGAGGCAAAACAAAAAAATAAATATATTTATGTATTTGCATAATTGCCTTAAGCAGTTAAAGGTTGTTTATTAATAGAAGGATATTATGTTATTTATATTCCTATTTGTAGCAATTATAATTTAAAGGATACGTAATATATTTAAGCGTACTTTATGTAAACATATGTATGTGAGTACTGAACCTTTATGATAGTATAATTGAATAATAACATTTTTGAATATTTTTAAGTAAATAAAAGAGAAGAGGAAAATATAACTTTTGTTTTTTACAATTTTCTCTCCAGAATAGTAAATTTTAACCTGTATTTGAAATTTTAAATTACCCTTAATTAAAATTTTATTTTTATAATTTCAGGTTTAATAAAACGTGCCGTGCCGTTGCGTGAATAAAATCAGTTAAGAAAATATCATTTTGAACTTATACGTTACACCGTATCTTGAAGAAAATTGTGAAGATCTTGAAGAACCAAGTGAATGTTATGGAATGTTTGAAACTGATGTTCCAAAAGAAAGGAAATTTGTTACATATCCGCACCTTTTGTTATCTGTTCATGAGTCATCATAGTCATAAGTGATTCTATCAATATCATCTAAGTGTAGTAAAAGTAAAGATATAGGTTCTAAATTTGGAAATTGAAATAAATGCAGATCGCAATCATTTTTATATAATAGCAAACAGTTATCGGGAGAAAATATAAGTTTTGTAGGGTTCAGAAATATTTTTGTTAAATATTAATAATTTGGAAGCTTTGTCAGTGCAGTTCTTCCACAGTGAAATGAAAAATCAAATTGAGTTGATTTGATGTTTCTTTCGGAGGAAAGAAACATCAAATTTCGCAATTTCAATTGAACATTTTTGTAATATTTTGGATCACTCCTTGGCATATATATTTTAGTAGAAAAAT